AAGACATCATACAGCGAATCTAAGTAGTCATCAGAGCCCTAGAACCAGTATATGTAATAAGCACCTATAACTGCCCTTCTGTACACATACAAATACTCACTACATATATAAACTATGTTTTTAGAACATTAATATATATTGCTAAGATTATTTACATCAAGCAGATATCTTCTATATGTACACAAATATCTGCTCTCTTTCTGGAAAGTAATGTGGCTGCTATCAGCATACAAGAGGAGTACTGAGTTAGAGCCATTGACTATGTGCAACAAGTATAAACAGGAATGAGATCTGGGACCACAGTGACAATACATACAAAACATTACTTTTAATCTATCACTTAACATCTATTATGAACAAGTAAAAAAACTAAAATAGATATACTGGCACAACTGCAAATATTAAAAGAAGTCTGCAATATAGTTCAAAATTTTAATATAGCAGTAGAAAGTATGCATATCATAACCTAGCCTAAATAACATACTCATGCACATTAGGTTGTCTAGTAAGTATCATAAATGGATGCATATGTTGTTTTTAGTTATCACTTATATCTTGTGGCTTTGTGTGGAAAACAGTTAATAGAAAAGATGGGCGGATAAGTGAGCTTGAGACAATTCCAACAAAATATATTCAGTGCAGAGTCTTGATATTATCCCACACAAATGCAAAATATGGAGTTTAAAGAGTAACAGCTGCATATAATGCTATAGGATACAGCTACTCCCCTTCTCAAAATAGCCACCATCCAGGTAAGTATAATGCATCATTGTCTTCTGCTGAAAAGCATATTGAACATGTCACAAAATCACCATACATCCTTTACCAGGTAAATGGTTAGCAAAAAAAAATATGCAGACACTTTTTTTAAAGTTTGTTAAGCCAGTATAGGATCAGGTCCAGATTTCCCACAAGGCCACGCCTCAGGGTGGCAGGGGTGTGGAATTCCTATCTCCCAACGCCCAGGACATGCAGTTTCGGGTGCAGGGCTAAATGTACAGCAGGGAAGCTATAAGAAATTCAACTCTTAAAAGTTTAACATGTCATGTCAAAACAGAAAGCACAAAAACTCTATACAACCACAAGCTCACATTCTCTGTACTCCCTCCCATCCTTTATACCAAATTATTCCCTGGCTAGCATCAGGAGAGTAACTGAGGCAGCAAATTGAAAGAGCTCTGCAGTGTGGGCCCCTGCTGCCCACAGGACCACTGTGGTCTGCAGCCAATCAGTCATGGTAAAAGTACCAGTCATCTAGGTACCACATGCCTGGCCTGAGGAAGCATTTGACTACACACCAAAGTTGTCGATGGGAGCAGCACCTCAATGATACCAGTCAGTAGCAAAACTCCTACACTCAGTGTTGAGACAAGGTCCTTGAGCACCTAACATAATAAAGCTAAAGTGTGCCCCCCTCCATGATCTGCTAACTAACTCATCAGCAAAAGTTGCAGATCCTGCACTTTTTGCACACCTTCTTCTGAAAAAGAGCCCAAGGCGGCTGCCTCCTCCTGTCCCTCGGTCTGGCTCTGTCCTTACTGCTCCTCTTTCTTCCTTACTTTACACCCTCCATTAGATTTAAAAATATCTTCAACATCTGCCTCCTCAAGCAAAAGGAATAAAAGTCTGACAAGGGTTTTGAGAAGCTTACTCTAAAGCATATCAAGTGGGAAAGAGGGTCAGCATAGGATCACATTGATCAGGGCCACGCATAAGCTTGAACTGCTTCCTATGTTTTTGCACCCTACCCCAAACATCTTCAGAAGCATACTTGACCAGGCAGGGTTCTCTCTCAGAGTGCAAAGAAAAATGTGCTCCAACTACACCCCATACCCAGCATTATGTGCGTTTATAGCCTGTGCTGCACCACAGTAAATGGTACCCAGCTGCCATTTTTTTTGCCCAGAAGGCTGTTCCTGCCCTAATTCATTATGTGGGAGGAAAGTTTACTGTCACTGGACCACGAAGTCAGCAGCTGGTTCCACATGACCCCAGACACATGCTCAAGCAGGTATAGGCAGGGATGTTATATCTGCTTCACAGGGCACTGGGTAAATTTGCTGGTAGCTGGGAAGGATGCAGGATAGGGCACACTGCTGGAGCAGATGGTGTCAACCCGTGTCCTGCACCTTGTGGAAATGACAGCGCAGTAAGGTCTGCCCCCTCCTTTGCAGTATTCTTATCCAGTGACTCCTCAGAACTACCAATCCTCCACACGTGCTCCAGTCTCAGGAAAATGCTACCATACTGTTTTTCAGCTGGAATACCTGGGGGGGGGGCAGGCAGGAGCCATCCTGGACCACAGATCCTGGCCATTTTCTTGAGGGGCAGGCTGAACAGTTTCTGATCCTATGATAGCTTGTGCCAGGCAAAGTCATGTGCGACAATGAAATCGACCTGCTGGCCACCCTTTGGCAGGCAAATTCACTCGCATACCTTTCCTGGCACATTTGTTGAACCTGGTGGTGCAGCACGTCCTGGTTAGGTACCCTGGCTTTTAGGATGTCCTGCAGCAGGCCAGGTGTGGCCACAATAGGTGCTCATAATTCAAAAATGTTCACCTTGCATAAGTTCAGCAGCAACAAAAACGGTGTCCAACCACCTGATGTGCGATACAGACATGCACTGGAACTCAACATTGGCCATGCTGCAGCAGCTGCAACAGTGGCAGAGGGTCTTTAATGAATATCTGTGAGAGTAAGAGACAAGGACAGGTTCACGGGGGCCCAGTTTCTTTTTACCACATCTGTGGCTCCTGATTCAAGACACATGCAACATCTTGCCATTCAAGGAGACAACCTTAATGATAAGCCACAATGATAGAGGGATTTGCAACATGATCCCACTGGTGTTCCTGCTGTAACATACACTGCAAGGTGCAAAAGACTGGCTACTGGATCAATTCAAATTATTTTACAGATTACATTAACTACTAGGTGTCCATGCTGGAGGACTGATTGGAGGTGGCCCTGTATGCACTTTGGATAGTAGCCTTCCCTACTGCATATCATGTCCAAGAGAGCCTTCATCAAAACAGGGGGAATTTGTGACTGAGAAGCTGCATTTTAATAACCTGTGGTGAGAATGTGCAGTGATTTTGGGTGCACAGCAATTTTACACGGGGGGCGGGGGGGATTTTTGGAGGGGAGCGTCACAGAATGCATTGAGGTGCTGGGACAACAAAGGCAGATCTTGAGCAGACTGTCAGCAATAACCACCTGATGTGGTGTAATTAACACAAAGCTAAAAGTTATTATTGAAATAAGTAAAAATTATACAGACAAAATGTAAAATTCTAAATATTTACAGTGTACTATCCCCCGGAAAAGCACCTTGTCCTCATGGCTATGAAACCCCCAGGGCTGTGGGGGGTCTGTGGGCAGGGGGGCTTATCTGCAGATGCCGCCCCCCTTGTGAATGAGTAAGGGGTAGTTACCCCTACTCATTCACCAAATAATAAATAAAATAGTCCTGGCAAAGCACACTCCCCATGGGCATGTGGCCCGGTATGGTGCAGGAGGGGGGTGCACGCTCATCCCCCCTTCCCTACTCTGTCAGGCTGCTGCTCAGATTAAGGGTCTGGTATGAATTTTAGGGGGACACTATTTCTTGTGGCGTTGGGGTCTCCCTTAAAATTCCTACCAGACCCAAGGTGTCTGGTGTGATTTTTGAGGTGAACCCCATGGTTTTTTTGGCATTGTGGGTCCCCCCCTAACATTCCTACCAGCCCTAAAGGTTCTGGTTTGAATTGGGGAGGGGACTACCTGATTTTTCTTTTTTTTGTTTACAAGTACATGCTTTATGTCTGCTTCACTACCCCGGGGATAGTGAACAGGATCACCGAACATTCAGCTATTCACCTGGAGCATAGGGGTGAACAGCAGGGAATGACCAGCCGAAAGATTCGCTTTAGCCGATCCAAATGTTGCATCGGCTCAGGTGAACGGGCTCTTCCATTTGCTTCGGCCGGACGAGCTGAGGTTGTCCAGCTGCGCTGAAGGTATGTGAAGTGAGTTGAAGGCAGCCAATGTACAGCTAAAAATAGCCGTTTGCGGCTCCCGTGAATAGCAAAACAGGCTTCGGTTAAGCTTGGTTCTTTATTCGGCTGCCTTCAGCAGCTCAGTGAATAACCCCCTTAGAAATCAACCCATTTGAAACAGGACTGACCGCAACAATTTCATAATCTAGACATCAACATTAATGTGCAATTTATTCACAGAAAAAAGCCCATAAAACAATGTAGTACATACATATGCAGTAATAAATCACTTGTACCCATTTTGAATAGATCCCCCATCTAGAAATCAATATCTGAGTGTAAGGTTTACTTCTTATTTTTCAATCTGCAGCTTTTTGACTTGTTGATCCTGCCAGTTTGTAGACTTCCAGTCCTAGGGTGAAAAAATGAATGACCCAACAGCTCCCTATGCAGAAGCAAGTTATTAGAGTCCTAGCACTCACAGCTTGGAGTTCACAGGGAATACAAGGCATCATGGGATGTTGACTTCATCAGAAAAGGACATGAAGATGCTGGTGCAGAAACCAGCACCAGTCTTAAGTAGCATGCTGGATGGAAACCGCATTGGACTTGTACACCCAAAAACATAATTACCATATACTAGCCACAAGCAGTTTAGGGCATTATGGGAAGGATAAACTCAGGGTTTAGTTACACTTTAAGTCAAATATTTGTGATTAATAGTTGTGGTTAACAAAAAGTGTTTGTGCTTGACTCTACCAACAAAGCTACCTGGAATTGACACGTTGCTTATACAGAAAGTGTTTATGTAACAACCTCAGAACAGCAGCAGAGAGAAATACAAAATTAAATTTGCATAAAGTTCCTATATAAATATATAAAGGGAACATGGGTGGGGGCAATAACACTACACATTTACTTTTAAGAAAGCACACAATAAAACCATATACATATTAAACATGCCCACAATGCATATGCCAAATTTCCAAACGGCAAGATCAATCTTTATATTAAGACCTACTTTACAATATCTCCTTCCAGACCAATCACTCGTTTAATAATCTTCTGTTCTGGGTTCTTTGGAGACCTAAGAAAAAGAGGGATATGATTATGTTAGCAATGATTAATGGCATGTTGGGGAAAATGAAGAAATGCTCAATAGGGCAGACAATACTCAAATAGGTTTTTCAATCTTCTGTTGACATTGTATCAATCCAATTTAGGTGCCTTTCATGTGATGCCAGATTATAATAAAGAAAAATGTAAGCCTCTACTTACTTGATTATTATATTCATGTTATCCTCCAATGATGATCATAGATTATGCTATCATCATACTGAAAAACTAGAGTCCAATCGAATTACTGAAATCAATTTCCTGCTAATATAAGGCATAGCCATGAACACTTCTATGCATTTTATAGAAACATTCAACTGCTCTTCAGGTATAGTTACAAACAATATTGCATGTACCATACAGAGAAACAATTCATTATATTCATATCATAATTATACCCAAGCTTTTGTACTGTATAAAGCCTTCAAGTGTTTATCCTGATTACTAATTGTACAGTAGTCAGACCGAATACGGAGATGTGACATAGAAATTCCCAAAGCTGATCCAGGAAATCAAATTGTTGAACCAAGAAATAAGTGTATTAGCTCCTTGGCTGTGAAGTCTGCAAGAGGTGTGTTGCAGGTACATGTGCATGACACGTTTTACTTGCATCGTCACTGAACACTAATACATGTTTTGCTTGAAATCATATAAACTTTTTTGCAAGCAGGCCTTTTTCCAGGGCACATACAAAGCTCCTAAAACATGCAGACGTGATTGGGGTCTAATTAATAGTGATTTCTGCCAGCTATCTTTGCTAATGCACATCTGTGCTTCTTGGGGCGATGCCACAAATTGAAATTACCATTTGTATTTCAGAAAGCATACTAGTATTCTCAAGGGTGCAAAATATATTCTGAAATGTAATACTTTTTCTTTGTTACATATCTGTGTAGTTTAACGATGGCCCTTACAATAGCTTTCCAACATCTCATTGAATGCCATATGACATTTTAAATCCCTTACAACATGACAGTAACCTCCCCATGAGACAAGATATCAGCCTGTCAATCTGCAGGTTAATCCTATTAGAAAAACACATCATTAAAACTGTGATAATGCACACATGCAAATATTGTTTGAATTTTAAAATAAATATATATTATCTTGAGCACTTGTCAAATGTTTCCATTCTACTAATTTTGAAGAAATTATAACCTTTAAACCTTTTCACATAATCATTTTTGTAATAGCCACAGACAATACAGCAATCTGCCAATCTACCTTTGATACCATATTACATTTACAGGGTTTTCACTAAAGGGTGAAGAGTTTGGAGAAGGCAGGAGAAGTGAAACATTCTCCATTCAGCTAACTTTCCAGTTCTCCTATGTTGTCCTAGATTGTTCACTTCTCCTGCCTTTTCCAAACTCTTCACCCTTTAGTGAATAACCCTGTTAATGTTTGTACAGGTATATGATCTGCTATAGCAAACATGGTGTTCACCATGTATGCTTAGCACAGTGTACAGGCTGTAGAAACACAGTGAAATAGAAACTTCCATGTTGAACAGAAAACTGTATTCACCAAAACAAGAATCTTTGACAATGTACCTCAAGTTAAAATGAAGCCAGGTATGGAGTAACAAATTGTTTTATGGTTTTCTTGGACCCATTAGGACACGTTTGAATATGGTACCTTTATCTTTACTACAGACAGATTATTGAATGCATATCCTTAAATAATTCATGTTTTCTCTACACATTTTTTAAATGCTACGCAATATGAAAGCAATATATATATGAGGAATCAACAAATTCCATTGGAGGACATGTAGGTCCTTTAACCAGTTGACATCCGCGGTGTTAAACCCCCTTCCCATCCAGGCCATTTTTCAGTATTTTTCAAGTATTTAATTTTGAATTTGAAAATAACCATTCTCAAGACCTGGGATACCTTTGGCTGTCTTTTTACATCCATTAATAAGCATTACCAGTTGATTAGCATGTAAACTATGTAAGCTAATTACTGACCTCAGTGTTAATTCATACCCACTCAGCAATAATTGTAATGACCTTCAATGAGCATCAACCTAAATCAGACTGGAGAATATTCAATCACCGAGTGGTCACTTTTTGCCAATAATAATATCGTACATTTAAAACTTTGATTTATCAAAGTCGCTCCAGGGAAGCCTTTGGATATAAATTATGCTCCTTCTAAAGGTCTTAATGTAAGATTAGGAAAAGTAATTTAATTAAAGTGTTAAATTAAAGATTTCAGAGTAAAGCTTTCACTCACTTAAATGAACAGAGTGTGGTAGTGACCATCAAAGTAATGCTTAATAGGTAAGTATTTTTCAATTGATCATGCCATGAATTATGTATGTTCCCTTCCTTAGTAGAAATGCATCCCACAAGAATTTGTACTTAGTCCAAAGAAATTAAAGCCCAACTACAGGCAGAGAGATTTTGGTAAGTTCTGATCTGTAAACAAATGTTACCTCTGCTCAGGTGTAATACAGCTGCTACACTGTACATTAAAAGCAATACTTTTCTTTATGCCGAATAGTACATCTCCTGCTGAACTTCTATCCCCACTCGTTTATGAGATCTGCCAGTATCATAGATTACAGACATAGCATACTTTTTCTGTCCCCCTCTCCCCTTGGCTAATCAGAGTGCGGGGAAGGGGGGGGGGGGGTTTTTTAAAAATGGACCCAAAAATTCCGGGTATTTATCAAAACTGGACCAGAAGATTCTGGGGCAGTTGCCCATGGCAACCAATCAGTTTATCTCTTTAGTTTGTCCAGTTAAGGTTTGAAAATTAAAGGTGGACGCTGATTGGTTGCCATAGTGCTGCAGTCCATGAGATATACTGTCGGGCTATCTGACCAGGTATTACACCGGAGCAGAGTTAACATTTGTTTACACATTAGAGTTTACTAAAATCTCTATGCCTGGTGTTCTGCCTTAAGAGGAACATTTTAAAAAAGGTTGAAACTGATATTTTAACTTGGATTTTTTAAGGGGAATATAAATTCTGACACTTTTACATACCATACAATTTCTCTACTTTTATTTTTACTAGAGGTTGGCTCATTTCTCTAGATCTTTTACATCTTCACTCGTGTGAAGTCGAACTGAAGGCTATGATTGCTAAACACATTTTAGAAATTCCTAGCTGCCTGGGTGTCATGCTGCTCTTTTGGATTCAATAGTTTCAGTGTTATTGACCTAGAACAAGGTACAAATTTGTTTAATGACTCAAAGCATTGATCCAACAAGTATTTAAGACAGCTTCCTAATTCTCAAAAGGGAGGTTCAGTAATGGCAGGCTCCATATTTCCATCTGTATAGGTTATCTATTACATTGCATGTCTTATGTGGAAAATGTATTCATAAAATAGGGCAAATAACAGCCAAATAAAGAACATTTATTTTGCCTTTCTTAGTACATACAGTGTAATCTACTAGTTCTCATCTAGATTTCAGGGTCAGCTTGTGTTAAATACCATACCAATATATATCACATGTAATTGTACCACTGATCATACTTTGTAGATATATATATATCTATATATATAGATAGATAGATAGATAGATAGATAGATAGATAGATAGATAGATAGATATGTATATCTATCTATCTATTTATCTATCTATCTATATATATATATATAGATATGCACATTTTGTGACAGCTGTCAGTATTTTAACCTAAGAACTGCACATGCTAATAAATTATGAGTTGAATCTGTACTTCAATGTACTTACAAAATAAAAACAAGAAAGATTAAATCAGAGCTTTGTTTACATACCTCAAGAACTGGTTGTTTTCAGGGGCATGCCAAGATTTTGCTCTGGACCTCTGTGTTACCACATGGGCTTAATTTTTGAACTAATGCCTAATCTTCTGCCATTTAGTCAGGATTACAGTAATACCTCGGTTCACGATTCGCAATCGGTTCGCAAACAGCAAGTTCAGCAAAATTTTGCTTCCGTTCGCGAACTCCGCATCGGGTGACGAACACGACTACGCCCATCTTTCCCGCTCTAACACATGGTCGTGGCTTCCTCTAGTCGAGATCATGGATGCAGATAGACCTGTGCACACTTGCTGTGAAGCTTTTTGTGTGTGCTTTTTAGCACATACAGTGCTGTACAGTATTATTCAAGCCAGCATGGCTCCAAAGAAAGTGCTGAGCAAGCATGGTGGTAAAAAGAAAGGGCAGAGCAAGCACGGTGGTAAAAAGAAAGGGCAGAGCAATAATGAAGGTAACAAGAAAGTGCAGAGCAAGAATGGTTCAGAAGAAGGTTTTGAAGAAAATAACCATTGAATTGAAGTAGTAAATTGTATGAGCGTGGTATTCGTGTGACTGATCTGGCCTCAAGAATAAAGATGTCATCAAAGGAGCTGATGTTGCAAAAGGAGTAACAATGTTAACCAAGCAGAGGACACAAGTACATGAAGAGGTGGAAAAACTTTTGTTAGTGTGGTTGAATGAGAAACAGCTGGCAGGTGATAGTGATAGTGAAGCTATGATCTGTAAAAAATCCAGGAAATTGCACAGTGATTTACTGCAAACAAAAAAAAACCCTCTACAAGTGCAACAAGTGATGAATTTAAAGCCAGTAGAGGGTGGTTTGATAAATTCCGCAAGAGAAGTGGCATCCACAGGGTTATGCAGTGCAGGAAAAAACAAGTGACAGATTTTTCGGCAAAATTGACCCTGCAGCTAAGAGACAAATTAGAGAGGAAACCCCTGAAGGAGATCTCCCCGAAATCCTTATGGAGGGGGACTATGCCTCCAAACAATAACCTCCACCCCACCCACCTTCCTGTACTCCACGCCAGAAGTCACCCCAATAAAGGTTAGTGTTCACTCTCTTCATACTGTACTGTACTTTGTGTCTTATTTTTGTGGTTAAAATGTTTTTTACATATGGTTCAGAATGGATTAACCTTATTTACATTGAGCCTTATATAAAACTTTGATTCCGTTCGCAACCACGTTCGTAGGGGTCAGAACAGATTACCTTATTTACATTGAACCTTATGGGCAAATTTGATTCGGTTCGCGACCAGAATCGTGGAGCGAATGAAGATGGTAAACCGAGGTGCCACTGTACACTGTTGTCTCTGAAGAACCATAGTGGGATTGCGATGCAACAGTTTTCTCAAACTAGGTAATTTTGTGGCTTCTGCTGCCGTTTAGGAGTTTAAAGGCCAAGCCCAGTTTGGTCCCACTCCACTGGGCATTTAATATATTCATTTTCATTTTTAAATTCATTAATTTATTTTGGCGTGTAACATGATGAGGGAGTGTCATTTCTGTAGAATTGTTTTGCGAGTCCAGTCTGATGGGATGACAGCCTGGGTTCATGGGATATGCCCAGCATTATTTAACTTAGAAGAGGACCAGCAGTGATGAGCATGGAGGAAGAGGATGCAGAGGGCAGTGCTGGAGCGCAGAGAAGGTAAGTTAGTTCTGGGAAAATCTACTTTTTTTTATAGGGTTGGGAGCAAGTTAAAAAATAATGTAACTGTAGCTGGGGTTAACCAAACAATGTGGGCCATGGAATAGGGAACCTTATTTTCACAAGAGGGCCACTTTACTTGCACAGAAATACTGCCATTCCATATTGTAAAATATAGAAGGTATCAAAAGTTATATTGGAGATGTAAGGACTGTCTTGGGAAAAAAAATAGCATTCTCTTATTCACCAGTAAGGCATTTTCATGAATTGCTGTGGACTAGTCAGCCTCAATATTACCTAAATTATTAAAATAATAAACCACACTGTAGCCAATATATCCTGTGTACCCCTCTGTAGTTTACTATGATAGTGCTTCCCCTGATGTGAAAAGGGGAAGGAGGCAATCATTTTAATTAACATCCGAGTTGGACCCCAGTTGTGGATTTTATTGCAGTTACTGACTTTGCTATGCCATGATAACCCAAAACCTGTACAAAATTTCCCACGCTGTGTGGTAAAAGTAAACATAAAAAGTAGGGCTGGTAATTATTAAAATTTTCCTGTTCGATTTAAAATAATTTGATCGATTAACCGACTAATTTCGATTAATTATAACGCACATACAGAGGGGGTCTCACCAGAGCTTTGAGGGGGCCTCACCAGGGTAGCAGGGCTCTGTGGGGTCTAACCAGCCTTGTTAGAACAACAAGAGGGCGCAAAACTAGGTCAGCTGACTGCCTGGACCGAACATTTCAGGGCAGGTGACAGGAAAAATAAATATATATGTATAATGTACTTACTTATGTGGGTCTGGGAACCAGATGTGAACTGGCCTGTGAGGAGGATCAGGATGTCCAGAATGTATGTTGAATGGCGGCTGATATATTGCCTGAGGCTGCCGGTCCAGGCAGTCCACTGACATAGTTTTGCGCCCTCTTGTTTCTCTCTTTGGTTTTCACATCCGATGCACTCATGAACCAGGAGACTCACCGGCCCAAGTGATTCCGTTCAGGTAAATGCGACTTTCTCCCCCACTCCCACTATATGTTTGTTACATGTTCTGGGGATGCAACTATACCAGTTTTTCGGTAATGAGTACTGATATTTTTTTTCTGTACTCGCCGATACCAAATACCGCTAGTCCCATTAAGGAAGCTAGGCAGCATGTAATGACTCGCCACCTGGCTTCCTGATTAGACGAGAAGCTGGGTGGCGTGTAAAGACTCGCCACCTAGTTTCCCGATTAGCAGGGAAGCCGTCTCCATGCTCCCTCGTCACCAAGTGATGAGGAAGCATGGAGCCGGCTTTCTGGCCAATCATGCGACATGTAATGAATCATTGCCCAGCTTTCTGATTGGTCGAGAAGCTGGCCAATCAGGATACCGGGCAACAAGCCATTACACGGCGCCCAGCTTCCTGATTGGCCGTGAAGCCGGCTCCATGCTCCCTCATCACAAGGTGACGAGGGAGCATGAAGCCAGCTTTCTGGCCAAAAAGAAAGCCGTGCAGCGTGTAATGACTCGCTGCCCGGCTTCCTGATACTGTAAGTTCAGTTATCAGGCTAGGCGGAGTATTTGGGCAAGTACGAGTACTTGTCCAAATACTCGGCACCGATACTGGTATCGGTGCATCCCTAAAATGTTTCCATTCACACAGCATACATGAAAAAGTACCCTTTCAGTTGTTTCTTTGGAGCAAGTTCATACATAGGACACTATAGGCAGATTCTACTGTGTAGACTAGATGACAATGCAGATAAGGGACAGACTTAAGGAACAGTTTTCTAAAAGTGCATTAACATACAATGTACCACCAATGCCTTAAAATCTTTAACCCTTGGTTAAGACAGACAGTCCTGCACATCTAGTTTACAAATGATAATAGAGAACTGCCAGCACAGACAGGGTTAAATTACCCAGCCCCCTCTTTAACATTACATAGAACTGGAAAACAAACTAAGCTTTTTCAGTAAATAAAAAGTGAATAAAAAGGTAAGCAGCAATTTTTAAATAAGTTATGATTTGTGAATGGGAAAATTAAACAAATATAATATAGGTGTTATCCCAACTTTGTTAATTGTTATTCAAAAGCACAACTCTCAACAACAGCTTAGTTCACATGACAAAAAAAAACAACCAATTATAAATTAGGGATCAGAGCAGTTGCACATAGTAGAAGAGGTAATGTTGTAATTGTGCCTAACATGCTCAATGACATTGCAGAAACCATATCAAAAAGAAAAAAAAAATCTACTTTGAAGATCTTGCTGTGTCATTCATGATATTGTACCAATTGTACAGTAAAAAAAAACAAAAAAAACAAAGACTTATACTTGAAATGCAGATCTGATAGGATCCAATTAAAAAAGTAATACTAATTAAAATGACACGGTTTCTTGTTATCCAATTTTCATATAATTGCAAACACTACAATGAAAATATTCTTAATTACAAATAATTAATAGGGAAAAACTGAGGGACCATAACATATTGCCATTATTCAGAAGTAAATGTTAATGTCAACTCAGTCTAACCTTCCAATTGACTAACTTTCAAAGTATATTAAGAAACTGCTTAAAATGCGGATAATGTAAACTGAGTAGTTATATGAACCTGACCTTAGTGTTAACAACAGGAAAACTATTTGTTGTTTAACCCCTTCATGACTGAGCTTGTTTTTAGTTTCTGTTCGTAAATGACTGACACACTTTTGACATTTTTGCTCTGTGATTCTTCCACGTCAGTAATATACTTTCTTACAAAGTGCACCCACACATATTATATATTGTTTTTTAGAGGACAGATAGGGCTACATATTTATATCACATATGTGTGTCTAACGCCTCACTTAGGACAAATAAAATATAAAAAAAGAGGAAAAAAACGTTTTTTTTTCCTGCAACAGAGGCCTGTTTAAGGGACATGGTCCAGCAGCAAAGCTGTCTTCACTTTGCTAAGCAAAGAAAATCCAATAGATTTTTAAAATGTCATCATAAATTTTCTTTAAAGCCACAAAATCACATTGAAGCCATACCATTAAAATGCTGAGGTTGGTGCCTTGCTGCAATAATGGCAAGGCTGAGATGATGTAATTACACTGAAATTTAATTCAAGGCTGCCATACAGAAGACCAAGAGTGTTGGGTACATAAATGCAAACAAGATGCTTGCCAGATGCACACTTTTCCTTTTTGAATGGAAGTCTTTTTAGATCTGCAAAGCTATGCGAAAATGAGTGACGATTGCAAGGATTTTCATTGAATAATGTCAAATACTCAGACACTGGTAGGTTCAATCAAAGGACTTAATATGTGCAAGGAAAGCAAATAATATTCCTGTGTATTGTCAGTTCAGCAGCTGGATCATGTTGCAAATCCTCAGATTTAAACCTAGGAACAGTCACATTTCTGAACCATAAAACAAAACCAATATTTTATATGCCCCTCTTGAGCATGGTTATTATAAACACTAAAGTTGACATGTAGACAGGGTGAACTATGTGAATTAAAATTACTGACAAACATAAGAGCTCTGTCCTTTACAGTTATTGAAAACATTACTTGTTATTGCATCAAGTGAAAATAAAATAGAAGATATATATGTGGCATGAAGGAGCAAAGTGAAGAAAAGGCACACCTAAGCTCACAAAATGTTCTGTGCTTGCGGACCAAAGGTAAAGACAAATAAGGCTGCCATTCCCCTTTAAGGCCCCATGCACATGGAGCGTATTATTTTGTATGATCTTTGTGCCAACAGATCAAATATACCAGCTCTTGTCTCCTTGGTTGCTAGAACGCAGGCAGCTCCTGCTGCCTAGAGACCCTGCTTGCTAGGACACAGGTGGATCCAATAGAGCATATTTTCACTGTACAGTGTAAAACTCACTCCATACACAAGTACTCGAACACAGATATTTTTTTTTTACTGCTGTGCTTAGATAGTATAGATTAGTATAAATAATGGATTTAAACACAGAATATTGTACACCCAAAGGAAAGAGCATGATAATGCAGGGTTGCAAATTAAATAGCAATTAGGACAATATGCCTCTCATAGATAAATGGGGTTCATAAAATTTTTTTCCTTGTGATCACTGCTTTTGTCATCTTCAGACTTATGTTAACTTGTGAGGGAAGAAACATGGGAGCTGCCTTTGGTCCAAAAATGTTAGTTACCTGGCCACCACTGTTTTAAATAATTTGATTACTTAACAAAAACAAGCATGTACATAAAGTCAGATTAAAGTCATAACTCCTGGGACACAGCTGACCATTGAAGTGTGAAGATGTGCATGAAAGATTTTTGCTCCACAGGCGACAATTTGAAATGTTTTCATAATCCATATGACAAAACAAAATAACTACCTTGCAATGTTCTGGCATAAAATATCCACTGGTTCTGCCCTCCTGTTTTACAAGCCCGAGATAAATTGACAAATCTGTCAATTTATCTCGGGCTTGAAAAAGACGCATAGAGACTCGAAACGCATAGCCAAACCACTCGACTGACATTCTCATTATTCAGTGAGACAGACCGCACTGTCTTCCAGCCCTGTGCCCGTCCCTGAATGTTCTTTCACAACGACTGCCGACAGCCTCTATACCGCTGTAGAGCGGCACTCCCGCTCCTGTCCAGCCGACGGATCTCAGCCAGGCCAGCTGAGCTCTCACTGTATCGGACGGCAGTTACACTTTCAATGCACAGCCTGATCCAAGCCGACAGCACTACTCACCCTCCACTGGCAGGACATCACCACATCACCACGTGGAGACAGCCCTCTAGCTGTCTTCACCATCCCTCCTCCATCACCAAGGGACCAAATAAAATTCTCCAAGCCTATGACTACATCCACACAGACCAGCTGCAGGAGCCGTTCGTGATCCAAGCCGACAGCACCACTCACCCTCCACTGGCAGGACATCACCACGTCCATCCAACAGTGATTCCTCAATTGCAGATATCAATTTAAGTATTACATCCTTTTTTTAAACAACATAAATCCCTGGGTTGTAGCACTCTTTTTCTGCCTTCTCATTCAGCATATGTGTACCATCTTGTCACAGTTCGAAGATGTGACCACAATGGTGAGCAGTGACAAGGTGGGGATTGTTGACATGATCCGTGTTATATTCCTGCTGGAGCACACATTATGGGGTGTAATAGACCAGGCACAGTAGATTTGGAGTAGGCTTCCAAGGGCAAATTTCATTCCTCCCAAACACTGGGAGTTGTACATGGGAGGGATGAGGTGGTAGAGGACACCATTGCCCTCAGCTGCATCGGGGACATGGGTTCCTTTGCCTTTGGAAATTTGTGGTTTAGACCCTACGTAAGGACCCCAGGATTTAGGAGGGAAAATGCCAGAGCTCATTCTTTTACCACAGAGGGAGCAAAAAAATACACCCTCTACATGAGGTGCTGCAGAGGAACCGCTTAACATCTTTTCCAGAGAGTGACAGAATCTTATTTCATGGTTATCATGCTTTTGATACTAAATGCGATAAAAGGAGTAGCATTGGTAGTGGCTGCCTAAGTGACGCTTTCGGGTCCTTTTTATGATGCATCGTCCAGGCCTGGCTGCTGGCAACAGTCACAGACAGCGCATAACAAATATGATCAATGATTATTTGAAGTCAAGGGTGGACGTGAACATCCTGACAACAGATAACCCACTTGGTGTCATAGCTAGACTAGTGACCTGAGCTTGGCCAGTATGGAATCAATCTGCTGGCCTGCCCAGCAGTTAATGTGCTTTGAGAATGGGCAAGTTTTGCAGGTTTTTGTGGAAAATCCACTTTTCCCCAGTCAGAGTTGACCAGCTCACCTTTATGAAAATGAACCAGTCCTGAATCAGCACCGAGTACCAAACCCCTGCAGCTGACATGACTAATTTTTTTTTTCTTAGAATCCGGCCCCCAAACCATTAATATACCATAAAGAATTACGGACTACTAACACTGCCATCCATTACCATCTCTTGCCACCCGTACATGGCAGGAGATGTATATATTTCCTAGTACCCCATACCCTTTGCTTGACAATTCCTTGACAATTAGCCTGGAAAAAAATAATAATTTGTTTCCAAGATTCACCTTCCATTGACTTTAAAAGGGTTCACATTAAAGTTTGTAACTGGAGTACTTTTCAGTGTGTTTGCCACAAATCAAACTCGAGCAACTTCACCCATCACTACTAGTCATCAGACACTATAACTGGATCAAAAGGGCACCCAGGACTCTCAGCAAAAGGGGCTTAGAGGTTTCAGGAAGCAAGCATATTTACATGGAAAGAGCTCCATTTGCAGTTCTTTCCAGATTTTCTGAATTCTGCATGGGATCCTTAAACCTGGAGATTTCTGAGAGACCTGGGAGGGATGAAATCTCCATTCTTGGGTCCATGTTTTTGGTGTTGATCAGCACCTATTGATTATTAAGTTGTGAACATTCCTTATGGTAAGGGTGCAGGCTAGGGTTCAGTGCTCCATCTGGAAGATAGGGAAGCTTTTTGTTCAGCAGGGCTCCAGCCAGGAATTAGAGAGGAGCCAGGTGTGTGTGCTGGAGGAACATGAGAGGCACCTGGGAAGTCTGGGGCAGTCAGTGAGGCTAAAAAAGGGCGAGAGAGAGAGAGAGAGAGAGAGAAAGGGAGTCAGTGCAGGTTAGTACAGTATTGAGACTGTCTGGAGAGCACAGACAGAGGCCTGAGGCTGGAGCAGCAGGATGCTGTTAAAGTAGAAGCCACGATGCTAAAACCGTGTTTGTTTTGCAAGAAACACATGGATGTGATGTTGGAAACCTCTAATAGGAAAACTTATGTGAACTGTTGAGTTTTTGTTTGAAGAAAAGTGGGTTACCAGGCCCTTAATTGTGTATGGTGAGTGCACTGCGTCCTTAAAGTGCTCACCATGTGCTAATATCCCCAAATATCACAACATACACTATATTACCAAAAGTATTGGGACACCTGCCTTTAAACGCACATGAAGTTTAATGGTATCCCAGTCTTAGTCCGTAGGGTTCAGTATTGAGTTGGCCCACCCTTTGCCAGTATAACAGCTTCAACTCTACTGGGAAGGCTGTCCACAAGGTTTAGGAGTGTGTCTATGGGAATGTTTGACCATTCTTCCAGATGTGCATTTGTGAGGTCAGGTACTGATGTTTGACGAGGAGGCCTGGCTCGCAGTCACCGCTCTAATTCATCCCAAATGTGTTCCATCGGGTTGGTCAGGACTCTGTGCAGGCCAGGCAAGTTCCTCCACCCCAAACTCGCTCATCCATGTCTTTATGGACCTTGCTTTGTGCACTGGTGGGCAGTCATGTGGAAACAGGAAGGGGCCATCCCCAAACTTTCCCCAAAAAGTTGGGAGCATGAAATTGTCCAAAATGTCTTAACAGTTCCCTTCACTGGAACTAAAGGGCCAAGCTCAACCCCTAAAAAAACAACCCACTACATTTGGTAATATAGTGTATACGAGTCCCCCCAGTTTTTACACTCTGTTTCTATGCTGCACCAACATCTGCAGTGAATCCCATAAAACCTTGCTTCTATTTTGTGTCTGTCTGCTCTGTGTTATCATCACTTGCCTCCTGCTGGTTTTCTTCCACACTATGATCTCATCGGAGAGATTTTGTGAAACATTAGAGGTTTGGGTGGCCTCCTTAAATGAACTATGATGTTCCATACCTTACAGAAATACAAACCAGCAATTCTTTGTGTACAAGAGACCCTCCACACTCAGGACTCATGTAGTTTGAATAATTGCTGGATAAGACATATTTACCAGTCTACCTATTCATCTTATGCCAGAAGGGTTAATATATTGATACATACCCATGCATTTTTATGATTTGATCCTGTTGTAGACAGTGACAAATGTTTTATATATTTGCATTACCTTGTATAGTTTCCAACTTTCCATAGTATATATAACACCCTTATTCAATTGATGTTCTGAAAATGCTATTGAACTGTAAGCCTGATGTACCCTCCTTTTACTGTAAGACTTGGATAGATGCTCCGCTTTTTTCCAGCCCACCTGTAAGGATACCCTGCTTGCCTGTTTGTTTTTGAAAGATGGGGTAGATTGACATGTGGAAAAATATGCACATCCATTATCCTATTTTCTAAAATGCACGTCACTTTAAAGGATTGATTTTTGTATCCCAGGATATTTCCTCTGGCGAGTCAGTTATCTTTCAGATAACTCCACTCTTATCACCTGGCTCAAAGTCCCCTTGAAGCTAAATGTATTTTGGCTTCACATTTTCTACCACCCATGACTCTATATAACGTTATTTAATTTAAAAAAAAATAGCAATGTTCTCTCTTATTAGTTTGAATATCTTCCATGCCTTTTAAATGGCGTATTTATCACAGAGATTACACACCGAGGACAGAAGAGAAGGGCACAACAGCAAACATAGCAATTTGCAGCCAGCCATGCATTCCACGTCATTGCTTTGGGGTTGGGCATCAAAGTATGTTTTTAAGCCTGTGGAGAAGAAACTAGCCTTTTATGGGGAGGGGGAGAGAACTGGTTGCTTGTTGGCTAAAATAGCTTAATCCCAGCAACCTCTCACCAACATTGGTGCACTGGCCACTCTTTATCAGAATGTAATTAATGCTCCAGATGCTATTTTGCAGAAATTAGTCAATTTCTATCTTGCCCTATACAACTACTAGTTCAACATCTTCTCTTTAATCCTACATTCAAAATATGAACTTGCTCACACACTCTTAGGATCAGCAAGACAACCACGGTTTTTATGGTGGAAGTACATCAATGGTATGCTGACACCTTGTTGCCAAAATGTTTAAATGAGTTTTAGGATGTGCATCATAAAGGGGGCTTTACCACCATCAAGAGCTAAAATAGTATTCATTTTAAAGCCAGCTAAAGACCCTGTAGATCCCCACTCATACAGTATGTGCCCATTCATCTTTTGTCCTGTGATATCAGGATTCTAGTTAAGGATTTGACAAGTAGACTGAATAAGATCATAACTTTGATGAGCCATTCAGACCAGGCAGGCTTTATGCCCCAAAATCCTGCATCAAATAACCTTCACAGATTGTTTATAATATGCAGACACCTTTGGACAACCCAGGCACAGGGACGGTGTTGACACTTGCCAGCCATACATTCGCCAGCATTTTAGTGGCCATACCTTTGGACATTGCTTGAGAGGCTTGATTTTACAACAAACTTCACTGCATGGATAAAACTTTCCAATGCAGTAGCTGCAATACATGAAGGCAGTAGGCTTCCTCCAACCTTTGCCTTGGGCAGAAGCACCCAGATAGGGTGTCCTCTTTCAACTTTTCATGGTTGCGTTGGTCGTAGAGCCACTGGCTACCTAATTAAAGACAATGTAAATATTGTGAGTTTCCATTTTGGGGATGTGCATAAGATCACACTATATGCAGATATGATGCTTGGGTGACAGCATGTCCTTCCTCTAGGAAGTGATTAGAGTCATTACAATTATTAATAAATTAGTTTAAATTGGCACTTCTACTTTTGAACAGTGACTGCTCCAAACCCATTACTCCCTCATGTCCTGAACCATTTATGGATTGTTTTAAATATTTAGGTATTCAAATTACCTCAGATTTTAGTAAATACTGTTTGCTTAACATTCACTATCTTGGGCTCCCATGATCTTGGTTCTGCACTTAAGATCCAAAGATTTTGTAAGTCTAACAAATTGTTTAGCACCTATGCCCTGACTAAACTGCAAAATACTGGCAGATGAAATGCTCATGGTATCACACGTCTGATTGTAAGTGGCTCCCTTAAGCTCTCATTTTACTGACAGAATAACTCAGGGCTTATTCTTCTAGGGTTGTGAAGAAATGGGAAAGCTGGAGTGCCCACTGAGAGAGAACAATGGGGAGGTATTTTAGGTTATGAAAAGTTCAATA